AAAAAAAAATAATAATAATAATAATAATAATAATAATAATAATAATAATAATAATAATAATAATAATAATAATAATAATAATAATAATAATAATAATAATAATAATAATAATAATAATAATAATAATAATAATAATAATAATAATAATAATAACAACAATAACAACAATAACAACAATAATAACAATAATAATAATAATAATAATAATAATAATAATAATAATAATAATAATAATAATAATAATAATAATAATAATAATAACAATAATAATAATAATAATAATAATAATAATAATAATAATAATAATAATAATAATAATAATAATAATAATAATAATAATAATAATAATAATAATAATAATAATAATAATAATAATAATAATAATATCATGGGACAAATGTAAAAATATTATGTCAAATGATGGTTTTGGCTTGAGTTTATCCCCAGTTTATTTGGTATCTAGGGGTGTATATAAAATAACCGCAATGAAAATAACTTTATAAATACGAGATTATGATAATAAACAAATAATGAAATATAAAAATAATGGTAAATACAATTTTATTTACAAAATAATAAAAATAAAAAATAAATATGATCCAAATATACTGAAATAAAATTATAAAAAAATAACATAAAATCAGAAATTTAAAAAAAAATGAAAAAAAAATGCAAATTTGGTGGAACTATAAGAGCAACTCCAATGGAGGAACTAAATGGGGTATCAAACTAAAAAACTACCACTTTGATGCTCAAAAATTAAAAAATCCTCCTCCAATGGAGGCATTAAATGGAGAACTATTTTGATATTCAACCACCCCGAGGTGCAAAAATACTCCCTGGAAAATGAGGTATAAAAAATGTAACCACTCTATTAACCTATCACAATTTGCCACGTGGCATTTAATAATATAATTATTCATATATTTAAAATTTGATAATCTATTTGATACTTGTGGTTGGAGTGAATTTTTTTTCTAGAAGTATCAAAGTATTATATCAAGTATCAAATGAATGTTTAATGCTCCATTTTGATGTCTCTCCATTGGAGTTGCTCTAATATGTATAATACTATAATAAAAATACAAATTGGGCACTAAAATATATTGAAAAAAAATAAGAATCGGGTTTTATTAATTTAATTGAAATGATAATTAAATACTATTGAATATGTAATATAAAAGGCAAGTAAACCAGGAAAAAAGAAAGAAGGTGAAAATGGGAGATATTTCTTGATTGTGTATTCTTCCTATATATATTATATATTATATAGATTTTTGTTCCATCACTTTCATAATTAGTGCTTATGGGTCCATGCACGATTGTTCGTGGAAGATGATTGCGTGGTACATATATATCACCTAAGTTCCGGCAAACTGAATATTTTTAGAACAAGTCAATATATGTATTAGCATGCATTCTTTTACTCATTATATCATATAATTTGAATTGTTCAGACAGTTTACAAGTCCCTGTCTCCACCATTTCTCAATTATTGTACATCTCTATGTATCCCCATTTATGATAATAATGAAAAACCCCTAATTACTTAATTAAATAAATATTTTAAATAATTATAAATGATATATTTATAGGCGTCTTAAGATACAAGTCTCTGGTGACAAATCTTATTAGAACTAAATGACAAGTCTAACTAAAATTTGCTTCACATCCTTTATTAAATTCATTCAAAAAATGCCCCACCACTCACAAATTCGAAATTACACCAAATTGTAAATATACTATGATGAACTATGGTATTATTTAACATTTTTAAGTTTGCATCTAGCATTTTTTTTTAATAGTGGATTGGAGTGGTGGAGAACGAAAGAGACAGAGAGAGATAGCGATATCGAAAAATAAAGAGATAAAGATTGTGAGAGAGAGTGAGAGAAATAGACGAGACAGAGAGGGCGAGATTGAGAGACATAAGAAAAAAGGAAAAATAAAGAGAGAAACGTGACTTTAGAATTTATTGATTTAGGTTAAGGGTAAATTAGGGATAAAAGAAAAATTGAGGATGTGACTTTAGAATTTATGGATTTAGGTTAAGGTTGTATTCCACATCTAATTATGTTTCCAACTAGGGACCTCTAGCATATTACCCCATATTTATATTAACCCTACTTATAATCATAGTCGTAGCTATTTTCTAATTCAGCCACCCATTCTCTCTCACATCAATCAGGTTCTATTTTTTTTTCTCTTTCTTCGCCACAAGCCGCCGCCATCTCCTCCCCTTCCACCTCTGCCTGACGCCGCCTCTGTACCACCGCCCTCGCCATCTCCGTCCACCACCGCTCCTCTGTATGGACTCGATGATAAAAAAATCTCGGGCATAAAGTTTTTCTCTAGTTTTTTTTTTTTTCGTGATTTGAGTGACGATGTGGACAATTATTATCAATCTAGATCCGTTGATTAACAATAATCTCATTGATTTTAGAGTGAAGATTTAGCATTTGCTGCAAATCTTGAAGTTCTTCTCTTTATTTCTTCAGTTTTTTAGATTCTTTACGTTAGTTCCCTAGAGAAGATGACGTTTTTAGTTGTTATTGTTACTTTTTAATTGATTTTATATTTTGCTATTTGTTTTAGTTGTTTCAACAAATAGTTAAATTTAACAAATGGTTGATTTTTGTTAGATGAGAATTGTTGGAGATTTGTTGATTAAATAACTAAATAATTTTACAATGTAAATAATATAGTTAATATATTGTTAACTCGAACTACTTGTTTATGTGGTCGGAATATGTATTTGACAATGACTCAAGAACTTCAATATATATAGAACCTTAATTTATTTTATTCTATTAATCGTACTGTGTCTCCTGGGTATTTGATACACACATGTTGTAGCTACTAATTACATTAATTATTTCAGAAAACAAATTAAATAAATAATAAATGAATTTTGGTGAACTAATTGTAAGATGCAAATTCAAACGTATAACAACTAGTACCAGCGTTCCCCCACCTTGTATTAATCTTCATCATCACCCCCTGTACCCAAAACATAAAATAAATAAGTTTTCTAAAATTTGGTAATTAATTTTATAAAATCTTGATTTAATATATTAAATTTTATTAAAATACAAACCTGTGGCAGTACTAAAACTGATTCCAACTCGAATTTCACCATAGTAAGTTCCATCTTTTAAAACAACCCTGTACTTTTGAGTACCAAGTTCAGCTTTTCCATTCTCTACACCTAACTCAAGTAGCTCCTTCACATATATCCTGCATTTAATTTATATATTCATTTTTTTAACCAACTAATTTAATTAATAAATATCTATATATTTACATATAATTCGTACAAAAAAAAAAAAAGAAAAAAGAAAAACGGGGACTAGAATTTACGTGGTTTGGCCAAGGTAGTCATCTCTAGTGAATCTGTCGTGGTCCATAATTTGAAGAAAGAGCTTATATTTTCGTTGGTTATCGTCTCCTGCGTCTGCTGGGTAATGTACCTTGAATTTGAACCGTTCATTCCACTCTGGCTTGCTACCTTGTCCTATTTATATATAATACCAATTAGTTTATTGAAACAATTATATAATGAATTTGAAATATTTAACTTTGAATATATAAAAATATGAAACACAAAAGAAAAAGAAGGGTTAAATTAAAAAAAAAAAAAAAAAAAAAAAGAGAAGAAAATTAAGCTAATTTACCATGAGCTATTTTGCTGATGTGCTCTTCATTTCCATACTGAATCACAACATATGGATCTATCCTACCTGCATGCACCAACAAATACATTATTACAACTTTGACCAATAAATTAAACCAATTGTGTTTTCAATTTATGAATTACGATACAAATTATTTATGATTAAACAACTTTTCACTGGGTGTCAGATTTAAATATATTCATTCAGATCAATACAAGTATTCATTTTTCATTTATAAATGCTATTCGTAATCATAAATAAGAGAACATTAGGCGGTAATTAAGTTAACGAAAGAGGAATCAAACTTAATACTAATGGTGGAAATTTTAACGAGATTACGAATAACAAAATGTTATGGTTCTATAAGTGGAACGCGCGCGCGAGTTTATCCAATTTAATCTACTTCTTCATCACTATAACACCTCCAAACACTCATTCATTATTATATACACACACCATGGAACGTAACACATACATACATACATACATACATACATACATACATACAAATGAGAAGGCCATGAGTACGTACCGAATAAGTGTGTGCTCAAGAGGCCTTTACCCCCAAAAAGTGTCACTTCCATTGTTCCTACCGTCATCTCTCTCTCTCTCTCCTTGAAATGGAAGAAGATATATTTAATTTGCAGATATATTGCTTATTTTCTCTCCTAGAGAAATGATATATGTATTCGAAGGGATGTGTGTGTATGCAAGGGGAAGAGAAACAAAAGAGAATGTGATTGTTATAGTTGTTTAGGTGCAGAAGTTTGTTAGCTTTGATGAATTAGCCAAAGTAATCAATCATGTGTTTATATAGAAGACATAAATTTATCTGTGTAGGGAAAATTGCAGTTTCGTCCTTGGGATATTGTTTATATGGGTTTAGCCCCAAATTGTATAGCTGTACTTTTAAGAACTGACCACTTCAATTCCCATATAATATTTTATGCCATCTCATCATTTTAAAGTTATGGGATTGAAAATAACATGAGTCAGGTTCTATAGGATCAAAATGAATTTTGTTTCATTCGGATAAATTATTATAATTTCTGACGACAGACGGCTGAGAATTTCATATTTGTAATGCTACTACGTTAATTAGATTCCTTTGGTCTTTGTCTTCACTTTTTCAGTTATTTGATTGTTCAATTTAGGTTAGCTGGGTCAAACTTTTAGTTAATATATATATGAGCCGCCATTTTATGATCATAAATGGCAACATAAAATAATATTATAATATCATAAATAAGATAACCATAATTAATTGATCAATTGAACTTATCAGACATATCAAACGAGTCAACTGTAAATTGCTTAATCATATATATATATATATGCTTGTAAAAGAACATCAAAGAAAATATATCTAATTATTTTTGCTTTGATAAAATGGTTCGATGGATCCAACCAAGAAACTTGATAAATCTAATTTCACAGTATAAATATGATTTGGATTTTTGTAGCACTAGTAATAATGATATTGTTAAATATACTTCGATTTATATTAAAAATTTAATCGTTAATTTACTTGATGCTAAATAGGGGTCATAGGATATAGGTTCCTAATGACAAAATTTATTAGTACTAAATGACAAGTTCAACTAAACACATTTACTTCATATTCTTTATAAATTTCATTCCAAAAATGCCCCTCCATTCATAAATTCGAAATATACATCAAATAAATTTCAAATTGCATTTATCATTTTATTTATTATGCATTTAATATTTTTATATTTGCATTTAACTTTTTTAATTTTTTTAACAGAATATCTGTTCATCTTCCTTTTTTTTCATTATTCATTTTAGCATTTTATACACTACTATAAAAACTTCTTTTTTTTTTTTTTCAATTCTACATAATATTGAAAATTACAAAAAAAAAAAAAGAAAAAAAAACCTGTTATTTATTTTTATTTTTTTCAATTTACATATTTTGATTTGTCCGTAATAGACTATGGTATACTACGGTGTACTATAGCATACTACGATGTACCTAGCCACCAACAACTCCTAGCAGTCGCGAACGCTAGCCGCCAACGCAAACCCTTGCAGCCAACGCTCACAGCCGCCGCGACCGTTGTCACCTACCAACATTGAGAAAACTTAGATCTGCCATTTAAACCCAAACTAAGCAAAATCTCTTACAAGATAAGAAAATCAGATGCAATTAATTATTCAAAATATGCTTTTAATAACATCCCATCCATAACCACAACACCCCGCCTCACAACTCCATGTCGTCGCCACCTACCATAACCACCGCCACCATAGCAGTCGCCACCTACCATAATCACCGTCATATCCTCCATAACTATTACACTATAATTGGATTTAATCCTTTATTAAATACAAATCTGTTAAAAGAAAAAGAAAAAAAAAAGAGGGGGGCTTGGGGACAACAAATGAGAGAGAGAGAGAGAGAGAGAGAGGAGAAAGGAGAAAGTGAGAGAGGGGAAGAGAAATAGACTTTTATTAGGTATTGTAAGGGTATTTTTTGATTAAATAAAAAAATAAAAGATGTGTATCAATTTTTATTTTAAAATAAGGATATAGTTAAAATGTTCTATTTGCATTTGTCACTCATATTTAATTAAGTTTGATTTGAGGGGTGTGAGGAACATTACCCCTAAATATAATGCATTTAAACTTACTAGTAGAGATGCATACAATAAATTGCATTTATAACCTCCAGGCTAAAAAAAAAAAGAAGTTGAAGCGGCTTTTAATTTGTTGAATGTTCCACCTTCCAAATGAACACGAATTCTCAATTCGCATCTACATAAATAAGACATTTTCTATGTAACAATTTTCTATAGGTCACTCTATATTAGATTTTTTGTGAATAAATTCAAGTTATAAGTTTCAATATTTATTAATTTCATTGTTTCTATCGTGACAAAAATATCCTTTATTAATTGGAATCAAACCCCTTCAAATCTTTCTAACAAATCAAATTCATCAAAATATCTCTATCAAATCAAATTCTCTTAAACTACAACCGTCACTGTGATCCGCCAAACACAAACTACAATCTGAAAATATAATCTGCATTAGCAAACGCCAAACTATTTATATTTAATTACAAACAACAAACTACCTATATTTAATTGCAACAACAACTAAAAATATAATATACATGCATGCATCATCTATATGTAAACAATAACAATATAAAAATCTATTGTTACAAATTGCAATTTGCAGTTTTCTATTTCATGTTGCTATTTATTTTGCGTTTTAATTTTAATTTTTTTTGTCTGCTTGACGAATGAAAATCAATGACAGATGCAAACAAAAATTATAAATTCACTTACAAAAGAAAACTAAAAAGAATGAAAAATATTTTTTCTTATTACGTACAAATTTATAAGTAAAAAGAATGACAACAAAAATTATAAATTTACTCATAATTTTTTTTGCTGTTTTGACGAATGAAAAATAAAATGAAAAAAATATAAATTTACTTATAATTTTTCTTTTTGTTGTTTGACGAATGAAAACTAAAAAGAAATATAGAGAGGGAGGAGAGAGACAGAGAAGAGAGGGAGATAGATGAGAGATAGAGAGGGGGTAGGCGTAAGATTGTTGAGAGGGATTAATTAATTGGATGGCGGCCGAGTGAAGAAAGGGAGAGAGATGCATGTTAGATTAAATGAAAGGAAGACTGATAAATGGGGTTTGTTAATCACTTCTACATAAATTTATATATTAATTGCGGGTGTTTTTTGGTTATACATAAATAATTTAATTTAATTTATATTACTTTTTTGTTTAAAAGATCTACACGGTTGCACTTAATTATACTCATCTAACAATTATATCAATACTTATATAAGTCCAGAATAAAGGGCGTCTAAGCAAATTTTCCCTTCATACATACATGCATTATTTAGTTGGATTATTTCCATGCAAGACTTGCCTAGTTATATCATGTATACTTTCCGCTATACCTGCCGCCTTTGACCTTCTTAAACAATGTTAAAGTAACATGGAATGATAAAGGTGTAGTAGTACAAACATAGACTGAAACTAGATCGTTTTACACGAAACATTGCAAAAATGGAGGACATCTAACCATAGGCGGAACCACGAATTCCAGATAGGATGCACTTAACATTTACGGGAGTTTAGGGATAGCGCCCCCGAGATATTTTTAGATTCATTCACATAAAATAGTATAAAATAAATTTTAATTTGCTATCATTTTTATATTCAGGTTCAAATTGTTGTGAAAATAAAAAAAATAGTCTTATAAATTAGAGAAATAAAGAATAGCTTTTTCCTAGTAACAAAACAAAATCCAACCAACACAAGTACTATTCAGAACGTGAACTATATATATGCATTATATATTTTCATTTGTTGCAAAATTAGCGCAAGGAATGGATATCCATAACGAGTTATTAGTTTGGCGTAAAGAAATACATATGCCGGGTTATAATTTTAGCGCAAGAAATGTACATAACTAGTTATTAGTTTTGCGTAAAAAAATGTACATCACGAGCTATTTGTTTAGCGCAAAAAATGTATGTACTTATAAGTTATTTATTTTACGCAAGAAATGTACTGACGGGTTAATTTTTTGCGAATTAAAGACACGGTTAATATGTTCTTTTATTTATTTATATTTATATAAAATAGGAATCAGGTCATTCAAAAGCAATGCACCCTATTAAAATGTTATGGCTAACATCGTGTGTTTATAATGTTAATGCATTTAACAAGCTGTGACCCGTTAAAATCGTATATGGGTCGGGTCAGTAGTTTAATTTAGAAATAAAGTTGGGCCAGGCTAGTGAATACTGATTTTTGGGCCATTCTATTTTGAATAAATAAAGTTGGGCTCGATCAGACTAATACATAAGACTTGCACAAACCACTAACACCAAAATTTGCAGAAAAAATATCAAAACTCTTTCATATGATTTTCAATTAAAATTGCAGGAAAAGCAAATTACAATTTCCGTCCCAATAAATTTGCACTAATTACACATTTTGTCCCTCATATTTTAAAAGAAACAATTTTAGCCTTCGTCAATTTTTCGTTAGTACCAACAGAATCCATAGTGTGTTGGTCCACTGCCTTATCTGACGAAGTAACGGTAAATTAACGAAAATGACCAAATAATGTTGAATTATTGAAATAAGAGGGAATAAATATATTTTTTTATGAACATGGGAGACAAAATGTAATATCAGTGCAAACTTAGGGGATGAAAACTGTAATTTTCCCAAAATTTCACATGTTCGAAAATAAAGGATTCAGAGAAATAAAATTGAAACTCAAAGGACTTGTGGATAAAATTTTATTTTCTCTCAAGCACGTTGTAGACTAGTTATAGTCCAATTTAGGGATCGGAGTAATGACACACTTGAGTCAGTTGATTTGATTCACCATACATACATACATATTACTCACAGCATGGACTATATATGAATTATATATTTTAATCTAGCGCAAAATCAGTGCAAGGAATGTAAATAATGAGTTATTAATTTTGCGTAATAAATACAAATGACGGGTTATAAATTTTGCGCAAGAAACGTACATAATGAGTTATTAATTTTGCGCAAAAATTGT